CTTACCACGACTTCACTGGTATACAACCAAATTTCTTTAAACGTTCGCGTAGTATTGCGACAAGTAAGTAGAGGTGTTAACAAATATATTGATCGATATCTGCGGTACAAAGTCAACCAGAAGTTTGAACATATTTCTATTAGATATATGGGATTTAAGGATTTGTTGATCCGATTCAACCCATTTGTAGCAAACGGGCATATTAATACCAAAAAAAGATTCTCTCTGAGTTTCTATAATATATCTCTCTAAAGCCCTCTTGTACCATCGTGGATGTAAAATTTTAAGTCTCTGGCGTATTTTTTTTTTGATTTATCGCGCTTTTAGTAGTTTTTAACAGTACCGTTATATGAAGAGTGGGCGGGATTATCTTCCGAGTTCATCCATTTTTATAGTGTCGGTATTGGTGCTTAAGCTTATTCTGAGCAAATTTTGTTATTAGAACTGTAGTGACTTTTTTAAATTTTTAGCTCACAGGTGAACCTTGCTACTGCCGAATTAATTAAGTGCCGAACTTAATTAAGTGTACAGTTACGGCAGCACTCATGGTGTGCAACCGACTTGCTGGAAAATCCTGAGGGTGCTCCCCAAGGACAATCAGGTGGATGTACACCATGATCCTGAGACCGATTATCACGTATGGAGCGGGATCGTGGGTTTCTAAAGCATCGCAGACTTCGGTAGGACTCAAACTGTCGAACCTGCAAAGACTTGCCTGCATCTGTGCGTCGGGAGCAATGTGAACGTGTCCGACCGCAGCACTGGAAGTCATGCTAGAACTTTCACCGCTACACCTGGTAATCAAACAGACAGGCAAACGAACTCTGCTCCAAATGACATCAGAGGGAGTTGGCAAAGGGAAGGTAATCTCATCCCAGCAGATGAAGCCGCGAAGTGAGGAAATATCACTAGCCCTTCTCCCAAGGGATAGCATTACCAAAGTAGTAAACTTCAACAGGAAGTTGAAAGTTACCCTTGGCAGCAAGTCTGAATGGAATGATTCATCACCGGACCTGCTGCTAAGAGAAAGCACTATCAAGTGGTACAACGACGGGTCGAAAACGAAGGAGGGGATTGGTGCAGGTGTCGCTGGGCCAAGCACCAAACTTTCCATTCTAATGGGAAGTTTCCCGAGCATTTTCCAAGCCGAGGTCTATGCTATAGTGATAGTGATCTATATATATCGGTGTGTAGGGATAAATCTCGAACGCAACTATCGCAATAAAAGTATTGCTATACTCAGCGATAGTCAGGCGGCACTAAGAGCGATCTCTGCCTATGAGGTCAGATCTCTTCTAGTGCTGGAGTATATAGAACGGCTGAACAGCCTATAAGAGCACAACCGAGTGCAACTTATTTGGGTGCCTGGCCATAGGGGTATAGCCGGGAACGAACTGGCTGACGAGTTGGCCCGCTCTGCAGCTTCTACAAAAATGGTAGGACCGGAACCATTCATAGTGGTTGGTCCACATACCATTAAAGAGCTCCTCCGTAGGGAGGAAAGAGCAGGCAGGGAGACACATTGGTAACAACTTCAGGGCATGCACCATGCCAGACTGCTAATGAGGGGTTACGACCTCAAACGGTTCAAAGCCATAATTAATCTCCCGAGGAACAAATTCCGACTACTTGTCGCGTTCTACACCAGCCACTGCAGGCTCAAGAAGCACCTCTTCAACATGGGTATAGCCTCTTCTGCAAGCTGCCGGTTCTGCGACAAAGAGCCGGAAACCCTTGAACATCTGCTGATGAACTGTACAGCAGTCTGCAGACGCAGAATCAAGGCCCTGGGATCCATGTTTGTTCAGGGATTGTATCGCCTCACTAGCACCCAGCAGAATTTTGGAATTTATCAACATGCTGGGCCTAGATGATACGATAAGACTTAGGGGAGGGCACAATAGACCATAGGTCGCGGTGCATACCACAAAACTAATCTAATCGAATCTAATCTACGGCTGTTTGTAGGTTTGTTTAATGGCGTTTTGTGGGCGTGACAGTGGTTCCTGGTAAAATGTTTCATTTCGATATCTAAATTTTTACTCAAATTACAGCTACACAAACAAACAGACATCCGGATTTCAACTCGTCTCGTCATCCTGATCATTTATGTACGCATGCGCCCTAATAACTGTCGCAATTGTTTGAAACTTCGTTAGTAAGTTTTAATATTTTCCCGTTCACATTTCTATTGTCACATGTATTTGAAGTAAACGCAACATAATTTTAAGTTTCATCATTCAGTTTTTTTGAGCAATGGAATTAATAAGAGAGATGGTGAAAAAATTACGTTTTTAAGGAAAAACCTCAAGTTAAACTGTCAAGATCTTCCAGAGCTTGATGTTATCCGCAGATTCGTTTAACGTACTGTTTCTCGATTTAAGACAAGTAAAAGTGTTAAAATAAAAAAATAAAAAATTGTGCTATTTTTGGAAGGAAACTGACTAAGGACCTCAGTGTGAGCCGGAAAACCATCAGAAACATTATTAATAACAATTTGAGAAAAAAGGCTTATAAGAACAAGAAAAAACGTTAACTTTGGTTCCGCCGAAGCTATAATACCTTTCACAAATACAAAGGCCCCTTACAAGAACTTGATTCCGAACGTTCAATTTGTATGGCAGCTATATGATATAGTGATCTGATCTGGCCAATTTCTGTGGAGAATAATTTGTTGCCTTAAGCAATAACTAGTGCCTAATTTCGTGAAGATACCTCGTCAAATAAAAAAAATTTCCAATGCAAGCACTTTACTCCGATCGTTCAGTTAATATGGCAGCTGTATGCTATAGTCATCCGATCTATACAACTTCTTCGGATATTAGATTAATGCCTTAAATAATAATACATGCCAAATTTCGAGAAGATACCTCGTCAAATGAAAGAGTTTCCCATACAAGCACTTGATTCCGATTGTTCAGTTTGTATGGCAGCTATATGCCATAGTAATCCGATCTGAATAATTTCTTCGGAGATTACATTGTTGCCGCAAATAATAATCCGTGCCAAATTTCGGGAACATACAATTTGAGAACAAAGGCTTATAAGAACAAGAAAACACGTTAACTTCGGTTGCGCCGAAGCTATAATACCCTTCAGAAATACAAAGGCCCCTTACAAGAACTTGATTCCGAACGTACAATTTGTATGGCAGCTATATGATATAGTGATCTGATCTGACCAATTTCTGTGGAGAATAATTTGTTGCCTTAAGCAATAACTAGTGCCTAATTTCGTGAATATACCTCGTGAAATAAAAAAAATTTCCATGCAAGTACTTTACTCCGATCGTTCAGTTAATATGGCAGCTGTATGCTATAGTCATCTGATCTATACAATTTCTTCGGAGATTAGATTAATGCTTTAAATAATAATACATGTCAAATTTCGAGAAGATACCTCGTCAAATAAAAAAATGTGGAAAACGGTTGGCCTCAAGGGCCATCCCTGCAACTTACCGCTAATTTCATACGCTAACGTTCAAATTTCGCTTTTTTCACTGCTTTTGAGCTCTTCGAAATTTTTCGTTTTCAATATCTCGCAAGTAAACCGTTTTCAACCGATTTTGACCCGGTTTGCGGCAAACGATGTGTTTCTTCAAGCTTTAGAACTGATTAGTTTTTGGTATCGATCGGTCGAGTCGCTTGGAAGTAATTTGAAAAAAACGATTTTTCAAAATTTTTATTTTTGAGATTTCTCAAAATCTACTGGTCCGATTGGGTCCAAACTCACACGAAATTCAAGTGCAATGAAACCCTTTGTAATGCCGTTTAGTTTATTCAAATCGGTTGAGCCGTTTAAAAGTTATAAGAGGGTCACATACATCCACACACACACACATACATCCACACATGCATACAGACATACGGACATCATCGTAGAAATGTTCGGGGAAGCTTCCTCGACCCTCAAAACGTCGAGATCTGTTGAGAACTCGATTTTTGCAAAATGGGGTGAAACCAATATCTTCCCGATTTTTAGAAAATTTTCAATTTTCTTAGCGGGAAGTTAAAAATTTTCCATGCAAGTACTTTACTTCGATCGTTCAGTTAATATGGCAGCTGTATGCTATAGTCATCTGATCTATACAATTTCTTCGGAGATTAGATTAAGGCTTTAAATAATAATATATGCCAAATTTCGAGAAGATACCTCGTCAAATGAGAGAGTTTTCCATACAAACACTTGATTCCGATTGTTCAGTTTGTATGGCAGCTATATGGTATAGTGGTCCGATATCGTTCCGACAAATGAGCAGCTTCTTTGTTAGAAAAGGGCAGGTGAAAAATTTCAGATCGATAGCTTAAAAACTGAGGGTATATATACAGACAGACGGACATGGCTAAATCAACTCAGCTCATAATGCTGATCATTTATGTATAACACAAATTTGAGAGACTGTGTTTTTGATGAGAAACAGTATGTCTGAGATTTCAGCTGATAAAAGCTATTGAAAGGTATCAAAACACAACCCCTGTTATGGTTTGAGGAGCCATATCTGCAAAAGGAAAACTCCCTCTACTTTTCATTGATAAAGAAGCAAAACTTAGCGCATAATATTATTTGGAGGAAGTGCTTATTGGACACTTCTCTGCTCATGTATCCAGTATGTTTCACAATGATCCAAACTGCTTTTAACAAGATTCTGCCCCGGCTCATAAAGTAAGACTTGTTCAACAGTGGTGCAGAGACAATATGCCCTGTCTCATTTCAGCGGATGAATGGCCCCCTTCTTCTCCTGATTTGAATGCTTTGGATTTTTGTATATGGGGATATATGATGGGAAAATGAAGAAATGTAAAAAACTTAAAACTAGACCAGTTTAGCGTCGTTAGCACAAAATTTGCGACGAAGTTCGAGAAAAAGTTGTACTAGTAACCGTGTGAAGTTTTTATAAGCAATGTAAGGCGAACGATTTGAATTAAAACGCACATAATGCAAGTCTATAGTTTAACTAATAAATAAACCAAGTCTTCATCGTAACTTTAATATACATTTGTTATATTTTGCGAAAAATTAGGTGCATTAGATTTTAGAGCACACGCTGTATATATACCGTATATGTATATATCTACCTCGATTTTACGTGAAATAAACAACCTTTAGGTGAACTAAATTATTTTACTCTGTTGCAAGAGTATAACAATGTGTCACAGAAATTTGGCGCAAAAAAAAATTAGCCGTAAAAAATGTGACAATATTAATTAAACATCAGCGATGTAAAATCACTCCATACAAAATGTATGGGAATATTAATACTCTAACTTTTTTTCTCGTCAATTTTTTGGGAATTTTTTTGGTATTCCTTTTGGTTGACCGAAGACCAGTCCCAATGGATACGTATAATCGAAGTCCGTGCATTCTTTCTTGAGTTATAAGCGTAGTAACTAACGTACCTGTTTTTTATATATTTAGATTATGTAGGTATGTATCTCACTTTTGAAACTCACCTTTCGTAGGAACATGAAATCCGGCTGGTACTTTGCAGGCATAAATATTATCAGTAAACGTTTAAAAAATTGTAAACCTGACAATGATGCTATACCCATGTAAAGAAACACGCCGAAAAGTACTGGCATGGGAATATGACAAAGCAGAGGTGTTAATACAACAGAAAACCCGATTGTTAAAAATATTAATACGTGTGTGACACGTTGTTCTCGTACACCTAAAAATTGTGGTTTCTCTCCTGGTGCAGAGCATTCAGATTCCAATTTTAGTGAATTGACGTGATTTATACTAAGAACAGTTGCTGCAACAAACCTGGAAAGGCAAATAATTCAGATTCGTTGATATTAAATAATAAACATTACATGCCATGGTAAACCCATTGTACTGCATATTTGTATAAGAATTGATAATATGAATAGATCCAAATGGTAACCACACCCCTTTTTGAGTTTGTTTTCTTTGCGATTTATTATTACCGACGTAATTTGCTGATCCATAAAAATTAAAATAGTTCCTAGCATCGCTGGGAATATAGCTATAAGTGGTGTCCACCAAGGGTTATTTGTTGAAAACGGTGGAACTAACCAACCACGCGAGCTCAAGGTTGGCTTAAATTCGTGAGGTACATCAAGTTTTGGTGTTGGAATGTTCATTATAAAATCCAGAATTGACATTGATAATATGGCAATAATAACAGCGAAGTCACTGATATACTGCCTTACGATTGATGGAAAATAAGGTGCATTCTTTAGATCTTTTAGTAGCCCTGATATTATAAAGGTACCAAAAAACAGTATAAGTGACATCAGGAAAATATTTTCAGTACTTTCTCGTATACAGTCTGCACCAACCAGAGTTCCATTGTTAGCCTGTTAAAGTTATGTATGAATAAACTTTTATATTTAAAATTAAATGTATAATTAAAACTTACTATGCAAAAAGATTTGTCATATTTTGCATAATCCAAAACGGTTAAATTACTATCTGCTGGTGGTGTGCATGTACAATCATAAACAAGATTTATTATTGGAAAGTTAATTTTTATCATCCAGACATTTTCAACAGCCTAAAAGAAAAAATATGCTGATTCATTGATTTGGTATAAAGGTTTAAGATTAAATGAATGCAACTTTTACCTTATATATAAAAATTAAAGCAATTAGTGTGGCAAAGTTTTCCTCAGTAAAACGAGTAATGTAGCAAACTAAAGCACTTGCATCGATTGCTGTTAAAAATAATAGTATGACAGCAATCCAAGTGCCAATCCAGAAACGAAGCGTTAAATAGTCCCAACCTTGATTTTGGCAAAAGTCATAAACAATGGTCTCAAATACTAAGACTGGCCCAGTTGATCCCAAAATTGTGAGTGGCTGTCCTGAAAAAAGACCATATCCGATTCCACAAACGAAACCAGAAACTAGAGACTCCATTGCTGCTATATTTTTGCCAGTTGCTTGGGATAGCAGTCCACCAAACGTTATAATTGGTGAAAGACAAGCAAAATACAAAAATATCCAAGATGCAACACACTGCATTGAAAATCCATCCTTAAAATCAGTATAATACCATGTTGCCTTTCTTTTAAGGTCATTACTTAATCCTCCGAAAAGCCGTCCAGTGCGTATTAATCCAGACTCTTGCCGTAATCGTCGCTCTTCTTCCTCCTCATTTGTTTCTTTACTTGTTTCCGGAGGACGTTTGCGAACCTGCTGTGAAGGTATTACAGCTGGAGGTTCTATTCGTATAGCTGGATCCCATTCACCTGGCGGCAACACAGAAACCGCATTTAAGAATTCCTCAATGCCTGCAATTAGGTGGTCGCTGTGTTTTGCGCGATAAGCAACTTCATGGAATATTTCATCAGACATGAGTGAACCCATAGCTCGGCCTATTTCTTGCATAATAGTTTGACTTCCAGGTCCACCCAACGCTATAAAAATAAAGCTAAAATAAGGTTCTCATTAGAAACATTATTTAGTTAAATTTTCGCATTTCATAACAAACCGAGTTGGGATTGGAACTTCTGTTAAATCTCCTAAAAACGATCCTTTTTTCAGACGAATGAATCCTACCAAAGGTTTTTCCAAGAAATCAACTTCTCCGACAAGAATGTTATTTGCTTCGGCACCTGACGGAATTTTTCGCATGAAGTTAGTGTTACTTCTGTGCTCGCGGAGTTTGCTGGAGCTATTGTGGTGCTGTATACACACGATACTTGGGCTTCCCACCATATCTTTTCCTAAATTGTTTGATGACATTGAAACATAAATAGGTTAAAGTGGATACTAATTTAGTAAAAAATTACTATTCCTATATATGCTTTGTTTTTCATCCACATGTTTAGCCATCAGTTAACAAAACAATTTTATAGATTATATCCAGTATTGCTTTTTATTGATATTATAATACTTAAGTTAGTCTCACATTGTAATTTAATGATGGATTATAATATAATAACTTTAGGAATGCATTTATATTTCTAATCTTCATATAAGAATGTTGAAAAGATATGCTCATATTTCATATACTGAAAGGCATATAAGTGTGGTATTACAAGTACCACATCGGTACGCTAGTAGTTTCTCTGTTACGCTAGTTGGCACAATTCGAAATATTAAAGTAAAGGCTTCTAGAATTCTGGACAAACAATTTTATTTCTCCAAAATTAAATGATAAAGTCCTGAACACTCGGTAGCCCTTTGCCATACTTATTAACTTTTCAAATCTATATATTATATTTGTGAAAACTAAAATATGTTATTTTCTCAATTAGTTTCTTAGAACAATAAAATATAAGTCTAAAACTTTTGCCTTCAGTACCATTTACAGTACATTTGCATATTCCGTAATATTCCGTAGTAAAAGCTTTAGGGATAAGCGCTGATCAATTTTAGTTATACTATTATACCCGTACAAGTGTACTTTTATTTTTAAATGTTTTAGTTTTATTTGGAATTAGGCAAGTGGAAAGTCATGGACTCCTCAGATAAGGAAAGGAAGGGCCAAGTTCGCGTGTAACCGAACATTTTATACTCTTGCAACTTGCAAGGAACAAAGCCAGCTAAATACCCTCAGGTGTTGGCTTCACTTTATGTATTGAAAGGAATTAGAATTTGTTATTTTATTAAGTTATATTATATGTAGGTCGTAGACTCACTGTTATATTTTACAATACTTCGCGTCAGCTAAATTTATATTAAAAACAATTTTAAATGTGATATAAACTTAACTGGAGAAGCGAAATTTAATAATTTGAGAGGATGTGGAAAATGTCAACCAGAAGATGGGAATTCATTTTATTAGGGATATTAGGTTTATACCAATGTTTAAATCAAATCCTTAAGTATCCTAAGTAAATAACTCACACACTGACCGATATATTCTGCATAAGGTTTGTAAAAGAAACAAAAATCAATTTATGTACATATGAAGATGGGTAGTTATTTATTTTTGCCATTACCACATATTGCTATCGGAAAAAATACTCTTTGAGTTTCCTTTAAATACCTCACATACCATCGCCAATATAAAAGGTGTAAAGTCAACCGTGTTTGAAAATCCTTATATTACTTATATGGTGGCTAAACCCAGTTTTCACCCGGTTTAATCCATTTTAGGTACACAGATGCCCGTTATTAAAAAAACAAGATAATAAGATAACTCACATATTGGCCGATATATGCAGTGTTAAGTCGGCCGGACGTTCGAAAATATTTCTATTAGGTATATGGGGGCTAAGAGAAGTATTGTCCTAATTCAACACAGTTTGCACTTACTGACATAATATTAATTTCAATTATACAAGTATATCTCAATCATTGAACGATAATTTCGATAAAAAGTCAAACATGGACACTGGGATTCAAATCTTCGGCATATGGCGGCTTGAACAGTTATGGCCCGATTTTTACATATTGTAGACTTGAGATGGCATATCATGGAGACACTCTTTTTGCAAAGTTTTATTTTAATATATTCGATAGTACTTGATTTGTATACTGAAAAATATATGGGATTTAAATTGGTTTTATACGGGAAATAGGCGTGGTTGCAATCCATTTTTGCACTGTGATATAGGAATGTCAGGATAACTTCACTTACCAAGTTTGGAAAATTGAAGTCGGCCAAATAAATTCCGAAATATGGGTTTTCACCTAAAGGTGGGCGTTGCCACTCACATTGTCCACTTTTTGCATTGGCTCCTATAAAGTTTAATTCTACCATCCTACACGTATATGTAAAATTCAAAGTTTTTGACTTGTTTATTTTATAAGCTTTCGCACTATCTTTTTAGGGAAAACCTTTTATTAAATTTGGTTATTATAGCTTTAGCGGTTTAGCTATGCTCATTAAACCCGCCCAATTTTTTTATTTTAAACTGCAGATGCCTCTCTCTTATGTATCTTGTATCTTATTGTGGCAGTAGTCAGATTACGCCCATCCACAACACCAACCTTTTTATTGCGCCAAGATGAATGTGTACCAAGTCTCATCAAGATATCTCAATTTTTACTCAAGTTACAGCTGGCATAGACGGCTTGGACAGACGGACAAATATTCACCTGGATTTCAGCTCGCCTTTTTAGCCTGATCAGTTATATATAAATAGCCCTATATCTAAATCAATTAATTTGAGGTGATACAAACAACGTTATAGGTGTCGTTACGAAAAGGATCAAGGTGTTATGCGACCCGTACCGAGGACAGCCTAGTCTCGAACGGAGCTTACGGATACCTGGCACCCTCCGTAATAAAACAGCTTTACTTGCGTCGCGAGGGCAAGCGGACATTCTTTTCCCTACACTCGTGGGTCCACAACATGAACCAGAACAATAAAATCCAATAAAACTAAAGAAGTCCGAACCTCCCATAAAAAAGCCGAAAGGAACTAGTTCCGAAAAGAGGGCAGCGTTTGCCACGAGTTCGAAAGCAGCCAGCAGAAACACAGAAGCGAAGTTTGGTCTAGGTGCAAGAGTCAGCACTAGCAAGGGAGTTGAAGCTAAGGCTAGCTCCCGGAGGGTAACAACACCAACGTCAGCCGGAAACAAACCCGATAGCCATAGTATAGCTGTTAAGCAGAGAGGGGACGGGGATGCCAAATGTCACTGCTAGTAATGCGTCTACCAGGAAATGGCCTAGTTTTAAAGTTGATGACCTAGCGAAGGTAAGGTATGTAGAGAAGCGACGTGCTGCCTACCTGTTGATAAGAATGCAACTACACCCGCCAAACAATGAGAAGCTCACGAAGGAGCTCCAAGAATCTATTGATTGCGGAAAAGTAGTCCTAACAAATTTTAAGCTTGAACCGCCACCAGTAGCAGCTAAGTGACAGCTGAAGAGGCTAAGCCGTCAGTCAAAAGACCGAAGACAAAGAAAGTAACGCACGCAAAATCGTTTGGTGATGTGGTTCAGAACCGCATTATCATTGGTGTGCTGGATGAGGGAGACCACAATCAGAATGGATATGGGTGCAATCTGAGCTGCCAACGTGGCGCTGCAGGTGCTACTAAGCAATCCGGGTCCGCCACCGTCATGCACAGATGCCTGTTGGTACCAGGGGTAAATCAAAATGAGAGATCGATTCAACTCCCTAAAGCCGCCATATCCTAGGTATAAAAGGTATAAAGGACCTCTTGTCCAGACCAAGGACAAGGGTCTGGATCCCAGCTACACTATCGCAGCCGGACCAGATAATGCAGCTTATATAATCTACCTACGGAGGGATGGAAATTCGTTAAAACCTTCGAAGACCCCGTAGCAGAATCTGATGTGAAGACCAAAAGGGCCACAATGCAGATCCTGTTGTTGTTGGCAAAGGAATCGAACAAATCGCTGTCAAAAAGTGGCGGGGAGATCAATTACGGATTCCCGAAGGTGAAAATCAGACAGACAGACACTCAAAACTTTACACCTAGAGAGGGCTCCTGAACGACTCTCAGGAAGACGCAGATAAAACAATTGTTAATACGTCTTCTACAAATTAGTCTCCATCACAGCAAACAAGCTTCAATAGCCCTAATTAACTGTGTGGCAATAGAACAGCCTGAGTCTGTTCTCATTCAGGAGCCATAGGTTAATGGATGGCGTATTTGCGAAGGTAAGATCAGGGCATTTATAATGGCAAAGAAAAACCTTGTCGTTTTTAAGTTACACCGTTATAACAACCATGACACGGTAGCAGTAAGCAGGTAGAAGGGCGCAAGTAGTTACCGCCTGGTGTCAGGTTTTATGCCTTACGATTAGGAGCAAGTACCATCTAAGTTGGTATGGGACAAGTGCATGATTATACTTGGATGTGAGTCAAACACGCACCATACAGTATGGGGCAGCACAGACGTTCATGAGAGAATTGAGTTTCTCTAGAATTTCTTACTAGGCACTAAGCTTCTGTTATGCAACAGAGATAGTATGCTAACGTTTATTACAATAAACCGACAAGAAGTATTAGATATCATACTTTCGTCGGAAGAACTTTTAAATACGGTACCCAATAGAGAGTTCTTGTAGGGGAAGATATAAGCCCCCATGGTGGTCTCCCGAACTTAAAAACTACAGAAGGACTGAAGGAAGCAGTTTAATTTAGCTAAACTATCCCAAGGCGAGGAAGTTTGAGATAGTTATTACCTCCTTAGGTCATACAAAGAAGAGGTTAGACATGCAAATAGAAATTCTTGGAAATCTTTTTGTAATGATATCGAGTTCTGCCGTCTCGCCTTAGGAAAATAATGGCACAATCGGTGCATAGCATTGGATACCTTCAGAAGCCAGACCATAGCTGGACGGTATCCAGTGAAAGGTCTTTAGGGCTACTAATGGATACCCACTTGCCAGGTAGCTCTGAGAACCATATAGTGGAGCATATACAAGACAGTAGAGTAGGGATAAATTCCACTCCTATAGATATAGTATCAGAAAGCAACATGTATTGGGCGATAAGAAGCTTCAAGCCCCTCAAATCTCCGGGACCAGACGGTTTATTCACGGCTCAATTACAATTACCAATATTAACAACTGGAGCTAAGGCAAGCTACTTAGTCATTATTTTAGACAGAAAGCTTACATGGAACCGAAACTTAGGCGCTAGGGTGATGCAAGCAGCTTGAGCACTTTAAACCTGAAAAAGGACGGTGGGGCCAAAATTACGATTAATGCCTCGGGTAGCTCATTGGCTGCACACATCAGTTGTAAAATCGATTATGACATACGGTATATTGGTATGGTGGTCAATAATGGAAAATA